AAAACATGTCATGCGTCATCACTAAGTTGCTACATGTCATGCATCATCACTAAATTGCTACATGCCTTATGTAATCACTAAATTCTTACTTACATGCCTAAAAATTCAATTTTTATCCATCATGTCTGACAACAACATTTTTTCACCAGGTTTTACATGCCAAGCCTAAATTGTCCATGTTGTTATATGCCATGCTAACAAATACAATTGTTACACGCCATGCACAACAATTAGCAGATGGCTTGCTTGCTCATGTGTTTGATTTAAAACATCATACCAAGAAACACTTGTATTCGTCCAATAACTTTAAATTCAAATGCAGAGTTTTAAGATGTTAAATCAGCAGTCTTGATTCTCATTACTCTGATTAACTATATACAGATTGAATATCTCTTCACCTACCTTCCTTGAAAACTGTTGCATTATCAAGTTACTCCATTTTCAATATTAATTTCTTTATATGTTTTTTGTCTATCTAAACCCTTTCAATTACTATAAATTCCCATGTAATTCAGCAAGTAAGTGAAGTCATTTATGTAAGTTGTTATCCAAGTACACCATAATTCTTTTAGTTAATTTCACTTTACTCATATCATACTAAATTCTAGTTCTCTTTTATCATTTCTCACTTAAACCTTCAACCATAAACCCTCAACAATTAACAGTCAACAGTCAACCTTAAACCAATGCAATGATGCAAAAAGGGTCGCATGTCCAATTGATTCATCTTCTTCTCTCCTATTCAAACCTTGCCAATTCTATCCATTTTCAATTAGCAATAAGAGACATTAAGATTAATCCTTTGACATTGTGTCCATTTTGGCTTGTTTCTCTTTGTTACTTTGTAATAATGATCCATTGCATTGGTTCATTGATTATACAAAGCATGAAGTTGTTTAAGAGACCGGATCAGAACTAACCCTTGGGGATTTCTTGTTTTTTTTCTTCCTTTTTTGGAGTTAGCATAATAGTAAGGATTTATGGTTTCACCTCTTCATCCTTTGGACTTACCACGACCGATTCCTTTTTTCCTTTCACCACAACATTCTCTTACTCTTAGAAATACATCTACAACAAAATACAATAATGCACATGTAAGCTAGATGCATTGAACAGTTAACCAGAAAAGATCCACGACATTTACTAAATATTTCTTTTGTTACACGACCTATATAATAACTATTTTGTTACACACCATACATATAATATCATTATTGTTACACGTTATGCCTCAATTTCATAACATTCTACACGCCATACATTTAAAAATACAATGATACACGAAATGCCTCAAATTCATTGGCTTTTACACGCCATATTCATGCAATCAAGGAAATTGTCAGATTGTTACACGCCACGCCCATTTTCTCTCCATATGTTACAACATTCAACCTAAATGGCTATGCCATCTAATTAATATCTCTGACGATTTCTACAACTTCAAACAACACCAAGCGTCGTTTAACAACAAAACCTTAAACCATATTCTCAACCAATATGGCATTCAATCACTAACCCCACTCAAAACACAACAAAAGAAATCGACATTTCTTGACTTATTGTGTGTTGTCAACTTCTTTGCTATCACTAATTACTTTGCTCTGAACTTGTTCGAACACTTTCATATCTTTGAGAATGAATGAAATAGTTGTTTAATAATCTTGCCATTTTATATACCTAGTGTTTCTGTTTACGTCAATGTTTAATAAATCAGAGAAAATCATCTCTTGCAACAAGAGGATGGTTTTAACAAATTGTCGTTTATCAAAATCTGGGAATATTTTTTTGACCTATTTACGTGTGTATGATTGCGCATGAATGAGAAAGTTTCATTTAAGGGTATTTTTGTTCAAAAATCTTATCTATTGGCTAAAAATAGTCAAATTTATAGGAAGGGTTATTTAAAAAAAAAACTTATATTTGGAGGTTAAAAAAAATTTGTCCCAATAAAAAACGTATGCATGGATATATTTATAATAGAATATAAAGATTTTTTAAGATTTTTTTTCCAAAAGTTACATATTACTAATTATTAATTTCTTTTTTTTTTAAAGAATTGGGAAAAAGGGATTCAAATTTTACTTTTTAAATATAAAAATCACATATCAATTAATAAATCAAATGCTTGAATGCTCATTGTTAATTTACTTATTTGGAAAGAATGAATACTTTTTGGACTCCAATATTCACCTCTTTTGGTATTTTATTATGAAATTATCATCTGCGATACATCTTCCTTTCATTTCTATTAAGGTTAGATGTAGAGGAGGCCGCTTGTGAGTTGTGACTACAATCACACAAGCCTTCTGTTATCACCCAATTAAAAGGCTAGTACCGGTATCCAAAGCCCAGCAGTGTGTTAGCTCCTCCCTCGATCGTACATTCGGCAGGTCTTAAACAGTTCTTTTGTGATGGACTGGATCGAGTCTGCATTTATAAAAACACAAAGGCCCCATTAAAATAAACAGAGGCTTGACACGAGTTTGTTTCTGTCATCCATTTGTTTCGTTTCTGACGAAATCGGGAATCCAGCACTTGTTTTTAATGCAATTATATTTGTGTAAATCACTGAATGACAAGAAAAAAATAAAAATTGAACAAGCTGAGCAATCAGAGCCGAGAAGAATGGCACAGTCGTTCAAAATGGAATGAAGGGCAGTAACAGAGTGGGAGATGAAATATCAGCCGCTAGGAAAACGCTGACACTCGCCGGCTTTATTGTGGGTTTGGCGTTTGCATGATGAAATTGCTTATGCTTCCGTGCTGTGATGAGTTAACGATTGTTACAGCGCGAGAAATTAACGTGTTGGATAACGATAACATCACCCCTTAATGCTATGAACCTGGAGCTACACCTGGCTTGCATACAATATAAGACCTTGTCTTGGGGATTTTCTAAGACTTAAGTATTTTTCCACTTGGTTGCATAAAGAAGAATTGGTAGAAAGAGAATTCATTGTTAAGTGTTAAGAATTTAAAGAGAAGCAAGGCAACTACATCATAGCTTATAATTGCTGTCCATCTTCAATCTTCAGTCCCAACTGCTTTTACATTCTGCATTACGTCCTGAGCACTTCTGACAAGGTTGCCCCCATCCCAATTCTTTCTAAACCATTTCCAGCTGCTTGTTAATTTTCGGATTTTCTTGTCTTCCCATCCCACAAGCAGAGAGGCTGTATCATAGTTACATGAGAGAATAAAGTGACATTTGATCTGCCGGAAAAGCGATGAAGACATGAAACAGCTTTATCAAGCTCCAAGTACCTTGCACAATTACCACAATTCTCATTCCACATGCACATCTATCCAAATTTCTAGTCACTTGGCTACGCATACAAGTGACCATGATATGGGAGCTATGAAACCCAACACCTTATATCCAGCAAATCCTGGAGCCAAAACTGTCAACAAGAGCATCCTCAAGTAATGAAGTCAATTTGGTTGTGGTTGTACTTCAATCAATTGAAGAACAATGCTCAATGCATGACCCCCCATCCATTTTTTTTTTTTTTTTGCTCAGAAGAGAAAGAAGAATGATGTTGACATATGACTTGAGCGCTACTTCAGCCCTCATGTCATGGAATATGGATTAACATGTCCATCCCCAAAAGTCAACCTCATCAGTCATCATAAACCGCACAAATTATGGTGGATATACCAAAGTCAGGAATAAATCATAAGAAAGCCTTCTACATTGCAATTTGCAGCTCTTCTAGTTGATAAGGCAAGAAAATCATTCCTTACAAGGGATCATTTTACTAAACAAAAACCATCATTCAGTGATTTCAGGGGGCAGGGGGGCTACAACATTGTGATTAAATTCCTGTAATTTTCAAAACAATGAACACAATTGTGGTAGCCAACTGGTAGCTAACCACCTTAAAAGGATATGTCTGGAATATGGACCCTACAGAAAGAAACCAATCACGCATGTAGTTGGTTTTTTATTTTTTCCTCTTCTTTATAAAGTGCTTCAAAATAAATTCTGAACAGGACACACCCAAAAAAAATCCATAATGAGATGTAATTCTTGTATAGCGCTAATGAAAACTAGAAATATAAGGTACAGACTTTGTCAACATTTGTGATAAGACCTATTGACTAATTAATTTCCTTAACCTACAGTATATCTGCAAGCTTTAGCAAAAAGCAGCACCCTAGAAAAGTATCCCTCAAGCCAAACCAACAAATCATGACATGGCATATAATTTTGGGGAAAAGATGATACCTCTTAAATAGGGTTCTCTAAAACTAGATGACTAAAAAGGTTCTAGAAGTCTCAATTCCAAAGAAGAATTTGCAAACTACAATAATTAACAGGCATTGTAGTTGCATTTTCACATATGCTTAGATATGTAATTCTAAATGACTAGATAAAATGAAAAATTACACTTCTGAAAAGAAAGAAAGAAAAAGCAATAAATCTGTCCTGATTGATGATATAATAACTATTTGAGCTACTTGCCTTGGTGCTATATACCGACTAGTTATATTTAATCCCAAAGCTGACAATTTAAGCAATTAGCACCCAAGTATGCTACCTAAGGTTAACAATTTCCTCAAAATTTTTATACCATTGGAAGCAGTCTTTCCAGAGTTACTAAGCTCTTATTCAGCAAAGCCTGGAAAGGAGGCACAGATGCATAAATCAGAAATAGCTACGGTACCATTCCCCAATACACTCCAACATCTATTCACGAATTATTATGCAGCAAAGTTGAGTTCCTCAAATAATCGCAGTCAAAGGTTTCAACTACTTTGTAGCCCAGGATTCTGATCAAATACTTCTGCCCAGAGAAAACAGTTATCAAGTCTACCAAAACCAGGACATCAAGCAATTCATACTAATTGCCAAATGCTGTCCGTGAAAGAAACAACTAAACCGCTATAGTTATCTAGCTAGCTAATCATCCAAAGGTGTATATGACCACCAAATCTTAACCAACGGATTACCCAACCCACTAAAACTAATTTGCACCACTGCTACAAAATTAGCCACATTAGGAACAATAATACACTAATGATAGATTCAAGTTAAACGTATTGAATACTTAAATTCTCAATTTAGGCCAACATATTTCCTCAACTCAACCAAAAAGAAAAGGACAATGGCAACCCACAACTTAATTTACAATACTGTTACCGAGACTAATACTGAAGTTTATAGCCGCCAATTTTCATTATTCAATGCAAGAAAGCATAAACAGCAGTGGAAATGTAAACCAAGAGAGCAGATGAAACCAGAATGACTAAAGCCGTCACCGCATGAACCGCAGACTTACTCCCACAAGACAACATCCCTAACCGGATCTCGATCACATTCACCATTGAAAGCATCAAGAACAAGCATCCCATAACGGACCCCACAGCGGAACCCATCATCCCAAACCTCAAAACTTTAAGGTTAATGTGGGCCCTGAAAGCTTCATCAACATCTTTACTGTTCAACAAGTTGATGGCGAGTTTTAAACCCTGAGCTACCAGGGACGAGAAAAGAAAGAAACTGAAGGAGACAACCTCGAAGACTAAGAGCTTTTTAGCTACGTCGATGTCGGCATCGCAGGGGGCTCGATTCTCGAGGCTATGTTGGCCTGGGGTAGTTAAAGAAAGGCCCACGAAGACGGCGATGGTGAAGAGGGAGTTAACGTTGACAAGGCCGTCCAAGGCTGTGACGTGAACGCTTGTTGTTGATGAAGAAGAAGAGGATGTGGAGGTCAGTCTTCTGGGGTTGCCATTGCTGGTGTAATATTCCTTCGGGTACTCCCCAGATCTGAGAAACAGATGAATTACACTTAGACATCTTTAAAAAATTGAATGTTTTTAATGAAAGAAAGGAACAAAAAAAAGAGAAAAGGAAATTTTACTCATCCATTATTGAATCTTGGAAATTTGATCGTATTGCTTGAAGGGTCTTATGTTTCCTGGAAGAGAAGGGGAAAGGTCGCCAGCTTCCTTACTTTAATTGCTTGTGGGGTTGAGACGTACAGTCCCCTAGGGAAGAGATACAGAGGGACAAGGGAGATGCTTTGCGTTTATATTGCCTTTGGCGTTTTGGGGTGGGTAGGGGAAATTGTGGCAAGAAAGTTGGAAAGTCGCTTTGACACGGGAAATAGCTGGGAGTTTGTTTCAACTTTTGAGAAAGGATCAAATCAATGTCTTCTAAGATAAATAGATTAGGACATGAAGACAGGGTGGAATGACAGTAATGCCCCAGTGTCGTTGCTTCTGCAAGTAAGGTCATGTGGTCCATTCGTCCTAATTTTGGGTATCCAAAAATGTTGTCATAAAAGAAAAACTAGTTAAATCCCTGCTTTACTTGTTGCAACTAGGCAGCATGAAGTCAAATGCAAACCGAAAATCAGAGCTGCCATCCATCCATACATACGGACTGGTTGTTGAGTCGTGCAGATGTTTTCTTATACTACAAAAGATTAAATTATTTGCAACTTTTTCTGCTGGAATTTGGCAGTTTTGGGTACCTGCAAATTACCTCATACGGTTTGGGTCCATGATAATGTGGTGATGATTATCAGTAAATATATCAGTTAGCAGCTGAACTGAATTCAAGTCATTTTTATCTTATAATCAAACTGGAAGTTTTTATATGAAATAAACATTTCCAGTTTCCTATATGTACTTTCTTTTTAAAAAATCAGGATCAAAACAAGTGTTCATCATATTTATATTTACATTTATATTATTAAAATGGAAAGTATGTTTCAATGACACAACAATTGTAGCTTTAGGTAAACTTGAAAGATTACCTATGGGTGACCTTGCCCAAAAGAAAAGGTTTGGTTTTTTCGATCGGTTCGGGGGGAAAGAATTCCTCCCGACGATCGAGCCGATCAGCCGACGAGACCGATCGGCACAACCGACAGTTACAAAAACAACCGTCGGTTACAATAACTGACGGTTGCGGTCGGTTGGGCGGTTCCAACCAACCGTTGCCGAGTCCTAAAAATAAGTGTTCATCATATTTATATTTATATTTATATTATTAAAATGGAAAGTATGTTTCAATGACACAACAATTGTAGCTTTAGGTAAACTTGAAAGATATACGTCTGCATTACATCAGATGATATACTAATAATTGAAACTAAAGCATTTTATTCTCAATATTTTCCATTGTACTCAAACAAACGAGATCACATTACGTAGTTAGTTCATCCTTTTTCACTAATTAAGCACCAAATACTAATTGTGCACCAAATTATGGTCATTGTTTGTTACCCAAGAATGATGCATCTGCAAAAAGTGGGAAGTTTCGGTTTGTAAGGAAAAGGGGAAAATCAGGTGGAAAATTAGAAACTTGAAGCGTAAAAAAAAAAAAAGGTGTTTGATAAGTTTGCTATATTTGGATTATGACATAAGTCGTGATGGTTACATCAACAATGATGGAATTTTGGAAAGTAATTAAAATTTGTTATAATTTTCAAGAAAAAATGTATTTAGTATCAAAATCAAAATACAAATAAATTACACAAGAGAGTAATATCTAGAAAACAATTATCACAACTTGATGGCAGTAGTACAAGGGGATATAGGCACATCACCCAGGAGATCCAGAGGAAACAATCACAGAGTATTCAAACAGACAAAATTGTTACGGTTTTCGTGGGAAATCTTCCCCAAAAACTACACTTCACTAGTTGAAAGTCATATTTTAGAAATATAAGAACATTTTGGATGCCTTCATCCCACGAAAACTTTCCAACAAAGGAAAAGCTTTCAACTTTATTCGTTAGCAATTAGACTTGTCAAAATGGACTGACTCGATTTAGTTCGGCCTAAAACACTATAGGTTGGAAAAATAAAAATTAGGTCTTGCCAATCCAATTTTTAAATGGATTGTCAAAAGCCTAATTTAGTCCTCCACTTACCAACTCATGAGTAGAGCTAGACCAACCTATTTCTTTTTTTGAATAATAAAAGCATGTTATAAATAAAAACATCAAATATTTATTGTCATAAATTGTTTTATAATTTAATCTATAAATTAAATAATAAGAATATGTTACAAATAAATAAATTGCACTAAACATCAACATAAGTATATAATCAAATAAATAGAAATTTCAAGACCCATTTATGTCTTCATCCTCAAGCAAAACATTTGAATCTTGTTTAAACAGTAATGATGTCTTAAAGCTTGAATCATTATCATTTAATATTCATTGTCATAAATGAAAAAGAGATAATGAGTTTCAATCTTAATTAAAATTATTAATTTGACAAGTAAAGATTAAAGATATTAAAATATATAAAATAAATAGTACCATCGATAGCTAAAGAAAAGCTATGCAACCAATTTTTCGTGCACGCATTTGAACATTTTCATGATAGAACGAACTTTTAAACTTTGTGAAGACATAACCACCAGTACTAAAATCAGAATTTGATGCTATTGTAGTAATCTGAATGCTCAATACATCTTGTGCCATAATAGAAGGATCAGGAAAGTGCTTAGTATTGTCTTTCTAATAATTAAGTACATTCAAGTCTTCAAAAACTTCATAATCAAGCTTTGACTTATTTAAATAAACATCAAACTCAGACTTTTCAATAGTATAAATTGTTTCACTTTGAAATATTTTGAACTCTTACAATTTTAAAATACATAGACAAAAAAAAAAGTAAAATAAATTCTCATGTAATAAAATGTTAGCAAAACACAAAACTTACACTAATGATCTTTGATCGCTTGGGTTTAGTTTCCTCTTTGACTTGCTCAGGCAAATTACTCAATAAGTGAGAAAAAATACTTGATGCATAAGTGTTGCTTGCATAGTCTTCAAAGAGCTTGTATAACTATGTCTTCACATTTTCTAGCTTTCCATGACAAGTAGAAACATCAATCTTAGAATAGTAGAATTTTAAGAAATCAAGCTTCATCCTTAGGTCAAGAATAGCTCCAAATGCAAGTACAACACTATAATCCTTACAATACATGTCATATTTCATTTTTCATCTTTTAATACATATCCTTGATAGCCGTATCTTCATTATGCAAATTCTTATTTAAAATAAATTCAATTTTTCAAACTTGCATGAAATACAAGTTAAAAGTTGGATAAGATGAACCCGATATCAAGTTTGTGGCCTCATAAAAAGGCTTTAAGAATTCACAAATTACCATTGCTCTCCTCCATTCCTCATCGGATGGAATATAATTATAAATTCTATCAACAAATTAAATGCTGGTAAAAGCTTTTTGATATTTGATTGCATTTTCAAGCATCAAATATTTTGAATTCCATCTAGTTGACACATCTAAATGTAACTCAACACCTACATCAATGCCAACTTATTGAACACATTCTTGAAACTTTTTCATGTTCCCATTCAATGCTTTTACATATTTCACACTCTTTCTAATTTTAAATAATGCTTCATTGACTATTTTCAAGTCCTCTTGAGCAATAAGATTTAATATATGAACACAACAACATGTATGAAAGAATTCACTATCACAAATCAAGATATTTTGCAAATGAAGATGGCCTTTCAAGATAGCTTGCATATTATCATTAATAGAAGCATTATCTAAAGTAAGAGAGAAAACATTTTTATCTATTCCCTATTCTTTCAAACAATCAAACATAGTGGCAGCTAATTCAATTTCAATGTGTGAAGGAGACATATAACAAAAGTTAAGTAACTTATTACATAACTTTCAATTTTTATTGTCAAAGTGAGTAGTCAAACAAATATAGTGCTTAGATGTAAATGCTATCCATACATCAAAAGTTAAACAAATTCTATTAGTTACCTTGGCCATACCTTGTTTAAGTTTCTCTTTCTCTCTCAAATGAATCCTCTAGACATCAAATACAATAATGTTTCTAAAATGCATCACTACATCTAAATTTTCATACTTAGCCCAAGCTATATTTTTATCATATTCAACAAAAGTATAAGGCAAGTCATGTTTAATTATAGCTTCAACAAGTATGTCATGTGAAATTCTAAGATCAAATTTTCTAGCTTTTACTTTCCTTTCATGATTCATAAACATTTGATGTGGATTAAGATATGAAATGAATTTACAAGGTTCAATATGACGACGCAAATGTTAAGTGCCATAACTAGAACCACCAACTTTAGGGCCAACCTTATACTCTGTATTCCAACCATTACAAGTTGCCTTTCTACTCTATCTTGCTTTTTGCCTATTTAGTAAAATAATTTCAAACCTTTGAAATTTCTTTTTTAGCCCTTTTACTCAATTGTTCGAATTCAGATACGTAGGATTAGAAGGGAGTTTCATCCTCATTCAAAATTCTCACATCATCACTCAAATTTATACAATTTTAAATTGATTGATCCATTTCCATCACCTTAACATTAACGTGAATAACAAACATTAAAACTTGATTATGTTAAATTATTTTCAAACAAAAGCATTGTTTTTTACGGATGAATATTAAGTAAATTATTATAAAACGATTGACATGAATGAATATTCTTTAAACTCACCATTGCTACTATTTTCCATGATATGATTAAATGGAACATAAATAAATTAACTAGGAAAGGAAGAAAGTTACAGGCATGCAAATCAAAATGCATGCTCATAATTGTGCTTAGTTTGAGACAAGCAGGATCCACATGCTTGTTTACTTCATTATTTTTTATTAGGATGCCATTCTAATATAGAATCTTAAATTAATTTCCTTACTGTGCTTAATCACATAAAACCAATTTCCTCATAAAACCCAACAACCATAGCAGAAAAGTAAGATATGAGATTGAATTTGAACCCTTGAATTAAAAGAATTATAGAATCCTAAATTTCCTTTTCTGTACACACATTTCATGGAAAATAATAGAAAAAGCTCTAAAAATTAAAATTAAATAAAAAATAAACAAAAATAGGATGGTGATTAGAGTATGATTTTGCCTTGGAAAGCAGCAATTTCTTGAAGGCAATCAAGAAAATTCATGAGAGAGAGGAGCTGGACCAAATGTGAAGCTCGTGAGAATGAAAGAAGGAGCAGCAATGGAAAAAGGAAGACGACAGTAAATAGTGATGAGTGAAGAAAGGAAAAAAAGAAACAGTCGTGAGGTAAAGAGAAAAAGAATGGCTGAAGAAAAGATGGTAGAGTGAAAATGAAACCTCATTTGGAAATGGACCCTTCGAGGCAACTATACCTCCAAATCTTAATGCCGTCAAGTCATGCTCACTAATGCCCCTAGTGCTAAACTATATTAAATTAAATTACTATATTAATAAGTTAATATAATAAGTTATATTATTTTGTTAATAATTTAAATTTTCATACAGTTATCGTTATATTTTGCATTATACTTAATTTTATATAGATGTCTTATATGATTATATCAACGATATTCATGTCTAAAGAAAGATTTATTATGTAAATTGATTATTTTTGCATTGGAAATTTGTAATATAGCCATGTATTATATATATATATATATATAAATTTTGAAATAAAAAAATAAAATATTAATGAGATTACGTAAGTTACTACTCTTATTTCATTTTTTGTTGTTTGATGTCTTGACGATCAAATTTAAATCCTTTATTCATATATAAGTATGAAAAATTGTGTGAATACATACATGTAAAAACAAAAACTTTTAAAATATGTTAAATTCAATATCCATTAAGTCAATTAGCAGATTTTAAAATCTTTTAACAAAATTGACCCAACTTAATCGATTTAACTAAATTTTTTAACCGACTTAATTAATTTAACTAAGTTAACATATCCAAATTAGCTGAATTTGATCAATTAATTCAATTAATTAACTTTGGCTCACCTCTTACTTTAGAAAACTTGAAAACGACAGTTGCACCCCTCTTGTACGTATATTAGCATCAGTGTCAGAGGGAGTTCCCCGTTTCAGGCAAAAAGATTATGTTATCTTACGGTTCTGATTAATTAGTGGTGGATCCCTCTTAACAAGATCTTCCAATGGGTGATGCATTCTTGTTGTGACATCGTAAAACAACAACGAAATTCATACTCATATCCAACAGTGAGAGTGGAAAATGATCATATATTCATAGTTGTTGCATAACTTTTTCTTCTTTTTTTTCTTATTATTGATAATGAACATCGAACCCCTTGGAGTAACACTTGTTGAACAAATACAGACGTTGCTTAATCAGTCTACCTGTACAAGCTATAGTCAAGACACAAATTTTATAAGTAATGGTGAACAAACTGAAGCTTTACTCAATCCTCATGCTGAGGTCTTCTTTTGACTAATCACAGCCAGATATTTTTCTTTTTCATTTTTAATCACCAGTAATCTCCACAAGAACAATTCCCATCCTCAAAGTGGTGGAATCTTTTGCGATCCCTCACCACAATTTTCCTCCTAGTAATCTTAGCAATGAGCTTGATCATTGAGTGGCAATCATCACAAACCCTTAAGTTCTTCACAACCCTTATTGTGGTAAATGGTTTAGTAGAGATTAGACCATAGCATATTGCAAGCCTCTCGCTATGTATTGCTAAAGCCTGCTCTTTCTCCCAGTTTTCAATATCATGCAGAACAACCTCTGCTGCCGGAGTATATCCAGCTTCTCTTAATATTTGGTTCAATTCCACTAACTTGTCATAGATTTTTCCCTTTTGAGGGTGCCTTAGGTCTCCCAGAAGAAACTCATGGATTTCATTATTCACTTCAATGGAACTACAACCTGGTTCTTTTTGTATTCCTTCCTTCTTCATCTTTGCCCTGATTTGAGCCGCTTCTTTCCATTTCCCTGATGAAGCATAAAAATTTGATAGCAGAATGTAAGTCCCAGAATCTACAACTCCATGGTTTATTAAGATTCTCGCAACTTGCTCTCCTAATTCAAGGTTTCCATGGATTTTGCAAGCACTTAGAAAAGCCACCAACATGACATTATCTGGAGCAACTTCCATACTTCTAATAAATTGAAAAGCCTCTTTAAGGCGACCTACACGACCAAGAAGGTCAACAATACATCCATAGTGCTCAACCTGTGGCTGAATCCCATAAACTCTAGTCATAGAGAGGAAAATCTCAAACCCCAAATCGACCAAACCTCCATGACTACAAGCATTCAGAACAGCAACAAAGGTAACACTAGTTGGCAAAAGCCCTTTCTTAATCATTCCTGTAAAAATCTCAATAGCTTCAATACTCTTCCCGTGCAAAGCAAGCCCTGAAATCATCAAATTGTACGTAATCACATTTCTCTCTTTCATTATTGCAAAAATTCGTTCCGCCTCATCAATATCACCACACCTCGAATACATATTGATCAATGCTCCCCCCACAAAATGATTAAGCACCATCCCATGCTCTTTCCCCATGTAAGAATGAACCCATCTTCCAAGCTCTAACGCTCCCAAATGTGAACAAGCAGACAAAACACAAACAATAGTGATTTCATTAGGCCTCACATTCTCCTTTTGCATTTCCCTGAACATCTCCAAAGCCCTATTCATCTTCCCATTCCTGACCAACCCGTCAATCATCGCAGTCCAGCAAACTGTATCCTTAATCCGTACCCGATCGAAAACCTCAATTGCCTGCTCAACCAGTCCATGATCAAGATAACAATTAATCATGATTGTTGACGCGACAACATCTCTTTCCACCATTTCATCGAACACTTTCCTTGCATCATCAAATTCCCCACACTTCCCATAGAGTTCCAACAGCTTCATGGTTATCAATCTATTCGAGCTTAACCCAAGTTTCAAAGCTTGGCAATGAATTTCTTTTCCTTCTCACAAGGCCAAATGAGACCCACAAGCTTTCAAAACAGAGGGGATCACATACTTATCCGGCACGATAAATCGATTAATCATTTGAAAATAAAGGCGAATGCCATCGGAGTAAAAACCAGCCAAAACAAACCCATCAATGAGAGCAGTGTAGAGGAACACATTTGGGTTATGTATTTGTTGAAAAATCTTGGAGGCATAGTTAATGGAGTGGAAGGTGGAGCTAAGACGAAGAAGCTCGAAGACGATAAAAGGGTCTTGGTCATGGCCGGTTCTAATGATTTTGGCATGTATTGGTAGGATTTGGTTGATGTGTTTGCAATTTTTTAAGAGAGAAATGAATTGTTTTCTTTGTAGAGTGGAGTTGAAGGAATATGGATTTGAATTTGGCGGGCAAGTAAAGTTTCCTACAGCGGCTAGAGTGGAGGAACTCATTGCTTGTCCTATCAACTCTTACTACTGTAACAATATGTATTGTCTTTATAACATAGCCTGCTTCTTGTTTCGTTTGCTCATACAAAAGCTAATTGAACTTGATCTTTTCCTATCCTATAAATGCTTTAACTCTCTAAATTTTCCTTTAAAGACAGTTAAGTAATTTTAGGTTCCAGTGGTTTTGCATATCTTTTGCTTTTTCTTTTTAAGAAAGAAATCCTCTTTATTACTTTTTTAGTGAAGATATCCACTAATTTTATACTTTTAGACAAATTGAGGATCAAAATTTATCTGTCATTTTCATTATCTTTCCACAAAATTTAAGATTCAGTTATATACATTAATTTTAATATACATTAGTCACCCTGAGATGAAGTCCTGGAGATGTCCACTGCATTTTAGTAGTGAAGAGAATGAAGTAATGGACATCTCTACTATTTTTAAGTAATGGGTTTTTGCAGGAACTTAATGAAACAGGAAAAGGAAGTGGATACGAAATCAAAAGTTCAAGTGCACAACACAATTAAGTCAAATGATTAGTGCAGCAGATTGGATTAAACAAGGAAAAACTAATTTTGGGTTACAAAGAATTATCCTGCTGTCTTATATAAAAGAATTTAATTGCTAGAATCAAGTAAAAGGTTTGTTGTTGACAGAATAAAATGCTATGAGCAGCGGGAACCATCAAAGCATGCGTGAACAACCTCAATGAGTTGCTTCAGAAAAACCAATTCCCAGTAGTGTTGCTGAGCCAGAAGATTAAAGGAAACTGAGCAAGGGCAATGGAGAGCAAGAGATAATGGTGCCTGCTTGAATCATAACTTCTAATCTCTGCAAACAGAGTTCTTTTCATTGTCTTCACCAAGAAGGTGCCCATGCACAAACATATCCACAGAACTATAAAGTAATATGCATAGCTTAAAGTGATCCTTGCCACCACGGCGACGCACATCCCAGTGAAAGAATATCCAGCATAGGCTATCATGTCAAGCAATGGGGACTCTCCTCCCCCTAGTGAAAGCAGTGATATCTTCAGCAGCATCACTTGGAGAAACCAGCCCAACATTCCTTTAACAAACTGCCAATTCAAGGCCTCTGGACTAAACCTGGCATGAATTAGAGAATTGAAGATTGTTATATAATGATAAACTGTGAGACTTTAAAAGCATTCAAACGGCCCAAACTTACTTTCCTGAAAGACCTAATGAGATGCCGGCAAGAACCAAGTAGGTAGCAAATGCCATAAATGGAATGTATAAATCAGGGGCATTTATGTCATTAACAGGGGCTTTATAGGATAGCTTGCCTCCGACTGGCTCTGTAATTCTTGTCCAGTGACCCTAAACAGGCAAAGATATAAATAAAGCAATCTTTGTCATATATATATATATATATATATATATATATATGTAGTTTCGTTGTCAATGGAAGAAAGGGTTGAGGTACTTAAGCCACTATTAGAAGTTTGTGCTTACTCTGTGTAGAAAAGGAAGCAGAATAATCTTCAGTTTATTCCTGACATAATGGTCATTCACTTGGAAGTAATATTGAGGATCAGAGAAGTACTTGCTTATCTGTCAAATGAAAACCAATTGCAAATTCAAACTGTTGAATTCTTAATCACAAAATATACATAATTTTCATGTACAAATTCATCTACCAAAATGGTTAAAAGGGAATGGACCCACTGATCAGGAGGTTATCTTTACCTCATGGAACCACCGAGCTATCAGAACAGCTAAAGTGGCACCATTAGGCTTTAAAATGGAAATTGTAAGATAAATGCAGTTTTGTTCCCCTTGCAGGAAAGAAAACCCTGGACTCAGTAATGCATTTACTAAAGTGGGGCACAAGAAAGATTTTTGAGAGATTGGTTAACTGCCATGCATAATATCAAGAGGTTACTTTTGCATCATGTTGATGTTGCAATAACTTATAACTTACATTGCTTTGCACGTAATCAGAGCCTGACCCAAAAAGTTTCCCTCCATATGCCCCTAATCCTCCTCGAATGAGCCCAGAACCAGCTCCATAAAATGCATTTCCAAAAGGACTGGATGGGGGATTTAGCGGTGGTCCTGACACTCCAGGCAGGGGTCCTCGACTATCATGCATCTCTGTTATAAGTCAATATATGCATGTGCAAGAAGAGCTGAAGAGTTTGCAAGTGAATCACAAGGTAGGATTAAGAAATGGGAAATCATCTCACTTGCATACCAGCATTTTATGGACGCAAGGATCCTTCATTTGCTTGAAATATAGTTACAGTAATAGTGAGAAATAAGCAGTTGATTACTATGTTCACATCTAAACCGGAAGAATGCAAAATTTCACAATATTGTCCAGCAAGGCTAGGTTGCTTATAGCTCTATCACAACCACATTAAGACTAGATAACGTTTTTGTTTAGATCCGTTTCTAACTCTCTTCTTCAAACCATTTGTTTTTCTACCTAAGCAACCTATATTACTCTTGATCGACATCAACCACAAACATTCTGAAATCAAAGATAAATATTTCAACAAGGTATATAACTCAGACAATAATCAAGATCTGATTAGAAATAATACAACGCAATATATACAAGTTTCATACTACACAATGTTCTATCAGGTTTGATTCAGCGAAAGACTATAGCCAAAGCTCATAATTGCTTCCGATTTTCTAGATCAGAAAACTCACAAATAATCCTACAATTAGAAAAAAAAAAAAAAAAAGTCCCACAATAAAATGGGAATGCAGCCCAAAATCAAAGCAACATATTGTCACTAAAAGAACACATTTTTAAGTGTTACATTAAAGTTCCTCCCGTGTTAATCCCAATTAATGAAAAATCCTCGAAGATTAAAATTTTAGAGTTATGCCCACATTTTCCCACCAAACCAACCCCTGGGCTTCCAAGAAACATAGCAATTTTCTGTTATGCTAACTCCGTTTTTCCATCAACATAAAAAAACCAGTTGAAGGTGGGATAGGATAGAAGATTGTAAGTCATTCCCAGATCAGAAATGCTTGGTTTTCAATAATAATGCATAAGGTTTACACTACAAAAAGAAGAATAAGCAAATGATGTTTCATAGCAAAGAGGGAGAGAGAAGAGCACCTTAGAGTATCTGTTCGTCGGTTGTTCTTGTCGTATCAGTTGATCGCAAAAGCTTTTGCCCGACGTCACTGTATTGACAATTCAAGCCGAGTTTGGCTACACGGGGGTTGTTGTACTTCTCACTGAAGAAAACGCCGTCGTTTTGTTTTTATTTCACCATGCTACTACCCTGAAGCTGACCAACCTACGAGTCTGCCGTTACCACACCATATGACTTTTGAGTGATGTTTGTATACTCAGTTTACCCGTTTTATAAAAATGAAATCATACATTGCAGGATTACATTATTTACGTTCGTGTCTAAATAAGGTTTTTACTAGCGAAAACGTTGGAAGGAAAAATGTAGAAAAATAAGAGGAATGAATGTAGCCAAAATGGATTAGAAGTTGGTAGCTTTGTTTTCTTTTCCTTGTTCAGATGGACAACAATTTCCAATGTCCCATCTGTCAAATTAATGAGAGTAACAACTGAGTAAGAGAGGGAGTAAATGACGTGAGATTGAAATTTTGTATACTATCATTGCAGAATCAAGATACAGTCCACCACGTAAAGCACAAGCAGTCTGTCTTTCAAGAAAAATACAAGATAGCCCGATGTTGCCACTTGACTTTGTTTAATGCGGCCAAACAATTTGGACAGGATTAAGTGTTATGCTTGTGTCCGTTAAACCCCCAAGGCTTCATTCCACGTTTATTTCTTCCAATTGTCTGTAGGATCTGTGCGGACAAGCCCTCAAACATAAAAGGGAACAAGAACAACAACAAACAAACAAACAAACATAGAACCTGTTGCAATACACTATATTTGGACCAATCAAGATGCACTTGCCATCTCAATTAGACATAAGACTTGAAACAATGACAAAAAAAAACACAGAAAAGAGAACAGTTTAAGGTTATATCAGATGTAGCAAAATCAGCCATTAAGCCTGGTTATTGCATTTCCATGCTCATGGATATTCCCCACCTCACTTCTAGGATATTGAATCCAGGAACTAAGCCATGACAAGATTGATGAATTTCACAATTTAACGCATTCAACACACGGTAAAATCCATATACTGAATTCCACTTTGCACTACTTGCTGTTGCAGACAATCAAACGCTAAACATATGAAATGTCAAACTTCATACTAAGATTACAAGTGCATACCTTCACATCAAGGGTCAATTAGAAGTGCATGCCCTTCTAGTTTCTATAATACTAGTAGGAATAAGAAGACTTATAATCTGCTAGTACATTAAGGTAGTATGAAACTCAACATGTAATTCCAGGTATAGAGCTTCTGTCATGCAGGCAAGATCAATAATGCCATTGAAAATGACTTCATTATCCAACAAGAATGCAAACAAAATAAATTGTGGTATAAAATGAAACAATAGGAAATGAAATCCCTGACTGGATAATCTATATAATACTCTAAAGTGACATGAATTGTGACCAAAAAAAAGGAAAGATCATGCAATCAAGAGTAATGGTCCTACAGCAGTCCTACCATTAAGAGTTAGCAAGCAAGCCAAAATATGGATATCGAACATTCAATTAAAGAGAAACAAACACAATGATTGAAATTCAAAATATATCTATCTATCTACACATTATAATTAAGCAAAACAGGCCATCACTGGAATTATCTGCAAGTATAAACCATTAGAGAGGGTATATGCATCTTGCATTACAGCATTCCTCTTTGCAGCAACTCAATATATCTATATATGGGAAATGAATAGTATAATAAAACAATTTCAAGGATAGAACGAAAAATGCTATGAAGACTTACAGAAGAAAATATCAATCTAATGCTAATATAAATTTAAATCAACTATCAATTGAATACAATTCTAATGTTAGCATAAGTATAGAACAAACTGCATATGACCTCCAACAGCCTTTAACTA